AGTTCTGTCCCAACCAAGGCTGCTGAAATATAATTCAACTCCAGGGGTTAAAAAAAATAATTTAGAAATAAACTGATAATCTGATGGCAAAGATGGAACAAGACTTGATAAATGCTAGAGATATTTTACCTCTGGAACACCATAAAGAAAAGGTTTCCTATGAGCCTTTCATTCTTTCTTCTTTGCCCTTTTCAGGGCTTTTTATTTTCTCCTATTTAGTCATGGCTGGAAGTCAAAAGATGTGGAAAGGGTAGAACTGGCATATAAATCCTCTAACCTGCCTCCAGTAAAAGAATTTGCATCCAAATATGCATCTTTACCCTGACCCCCTTTGGAGCTGTCTCACAGAAAGATAACTCTTAAAATGATGGCTCATTTCTCTATCCCTCTCCTTCCCCATAATGTCAGGAAAAAAAAAAAAAAGAAAAAGTCCCAGTTTATGTTTTGGGTGATAAATGGACCTGCTCCTATACTGCATCCTCATTACTGATGAGATGAGAGCTGATCACAAGACTGGAAGAGCAAGTAGCTCCGTGATATACTAGCTTTGCACAGGATGCCTGTGAGTCACCAGTGTGATGTAGCCACAGAAATAACTCATGCTACCAGTCACAGCCTTCGCAGACTGTGACAAATATTACGGCCACAGGGCAGGACATAAGGGAGATCATATCTGGACCATGGCAGAAGGTGCAGAAGTAGTCACAGTCTGGGAAAAATGTAGAATTGAGAAGCGATTTAGAGTAAGGCTGCATCCCATTAGGATGGTGTGGAAACAAGCCAGGGAGCCTGATTAGCGAATGTCTGCACTGAGCATTGAAGGAGAGCAGTGCTGAAAGCCCTGAGCGACCATGGACTTTATCTGCTCTAGAAGCAGTACATCACAGCATGGTGCTGATGGGCTGTATTTATTATCTCAAAGTGCATTAAAGTGGATGAACTGCTTCTGGCCCTGAGCTGGTCTTGCTGCAGCACAACAGGTAGACAGATCAGCTGGAGTCAGCAATAGCTCAGGACTCTCTGCACCAAATTTCACTGCACTGCATTGACGTCTTCTGTATAAGCTTGGTTTGTGCATTCAGGCACAATGAAAGCTGTCAGGGCATATGATTGCTTGCTATAAATATATCAAGAAGAGAAGGAGAGATGGGGGAATGACACTAGGGCTGGAAAAAAAAATAAATTAGGGGATAACACTGGCACGAAGTCAAATAGATATAAACTAGTTACAAATAGGTTTAGGCTGAAATTGGAAGACAGTTTCAAATCATCAGAGCAGTGAGATTCCAGAAGGCTTTCCAAGAAGAGGAAGAGGGCCAAAAGCCTAATTACTTTTAAGATTAGGTTTAAATATTTGTGAAAGGGTTATATGACATTGCTGCCTGAGGGAACTGGATAAGATTCAGTAGCTCAGGCAGCTCTTCCTAAATTCATATTCCTCTGAACATTTTACTGCTATCTTATGAGCCCCTTGGTCATTCGTAGTCGTCACAAGATTGACCTAATTTTCTCACATGGCTCAGATCTCCCTAATACTGCACCACCACTGGGGCCCTCAAACTTCCTGTCAGGGGAGAGAGCTGTGCATACCTGTGTGGAACTGCTTGCAGCGCCAAGACATGAGTTCTCATTTTGCTTTTGAGTTTCCATGTAAAGTACAGCCTGAGCTCCTGATTCTTGTGAAATGATGAAAGGCCTCAGCTTCACACTTCTTTCAAATATTTGTCTTCTGCTGTGAAGAGAACCTAAGTTGTTTGTGATCTTGCCCAGTCGGACCCTTTGCTACACTTGGTGGAACTGCAGTGCAAAACCACTATCTTGCTTCCTTGCCTCAGTTAAGGGGTTTGACGTGTCTGAGACCTTTTGTCTTCCCTCACTGGACTCTTGAAGCAAAATAAGAAAAAGAATAAAGACATCTAGCTAAAAGGATTTTGTAACTGTTCAAAGGAGAAAGGTGAGAGTTTGGATCTGTCAGCATAAGAACTTTCACTGAAACTGATCTCAGAACTGACCTCTTCACTGCAGCTTATGGTATTTGATGGAGCTTTTTTTTTTCCTAAAAAAAACCTTTTTTAAAGCCTCTGTTTCTAGATGTAGCTTCACATGACAATCTTAGCATCTCGTAAAAATATTTTTAATCCTCTAACCCTTCAGCAAAAAAAAAAAAAAAAAAAATCTTAAAAAGTTTCAGGTTGTACCTTATGTAAGCCAGAAAAACAAAAACACTACTATCGTCTATGCTCACAGTTCTGCAAGGCCAAACCAGGGAGTATGGAGTGGCAGTGCTTCCACACACCCTCTTCCATCTGGTGCTGCTTTTATGGGGTGTGCTTTAGAAAAAAGAATAAATCTCCACTTATGACTTCTGAGCAAGCATTTTTAGGCTAGTAAAATTTTGCTCTCACAGTGTTAAGGAGTCCTGAGCCAGGTCTGGTTGAAATTTGTGCCGCACATGGCATGGAAGAAAGGGCTGGGAAGAAATTCTGCTCAAAGTGGTGAGAAGAGTGTGAATTCAAAGTACACAAAGAACATAGCTGATAAATGCCAATACTTGCTGTAGAGTGAAATCCTCCACTTTTCTGAACAAATATATAGCAATAACAACCATAGCACTACAGATAATAAATTATTTTTATTCTGTTTAGAAAAATTAAAAGGATATAATTTTCAATTTTTAAAGGGGATTGTGTTTAAAGAATACTTTAAAAATACTGCTACTTGATAGGTAAATGTAAGAATAACTTCTTTCAAAACACTGAAAAAGAAGCACTAGACATCTACAAATTTATCATTGAAAAGACAGAAATAATATACTCTTTTAACTGCTGTAGGTCAGACGAACAGGTAAATAGATCATAGTTAATACTAATACTAAATCAAAGTTAATACTAATTAAAAATTAGTTAATACTAGATCAAAGTTAATACTAGATCAAAGTTAATACTAATACTAAACTAATAGATCAATTAGTTAAATGCTGCGCCGGCTACCTGCCACGGCCCCGGGCCGGTGTAAGGGTCCGGCTGGCACTGCCTGTGTGAAGCCGCATGGCCGCCCTGTGAGCGGCACCTCAGGGGAGAATCGACTGCCCCCGATGGTGCTGAGAGCTGCCCATGGGTGCGCAGCTTGGGCAACTCTGCACGCTGAGAGGACATGAAGGGATGACAGAAGGACACTTGTATGCCAGCCCAAAGTGTCCTTTATTTCCCCAGGTGGGGCAAGAAAGGTGTCTCTGAGTGGGTGCAGTGACAAATGCCAAAGAAATCAACGATTACAGCAACTTAAATAGGGGGTGGGTGGACAGGGGTGTAAACCTGTCATACCCAGTGGGGATAAACCAGAGAAGGATACAACAACTTATGATAATGTAGTAGGGGTAGGTACAAGGTCAGGGGACAAATAGAAAAGCTGAACTGGAGTGATTGATACAGAAGTTTCTAGAAGAAACTGGGGGTGATTACAGGATTTACAGCCAAAAGTGTATAAACAAACTCAGACTGATGGAAGCAAATAAGGAGAAAACAGGGAGAGGTGAGAAGATTGACAGATAACTGGGGAGTCAAGTGGCGGAAATTTTTGGGGTAAACAACTTGGATCAAACCAGCTGTAAGGGGACAAATGGAGGAGCATAAGGCTAACGAACATTGATAAAACCAACTGACTAAATCAGCCCACACCGCAACAAAATGTTTCAAGAATAAATTGTTGTAGGGCTTGGAGTAAAAGTATACTAGCTGTGGAACATAAACATGAATTGAAAGACTATAATTCAAGGACTATATCTTAGGAAATTTTGATTACAAGAGTTTTCATTTGAGGCCAAAACACGTGGGAAAGGCATAAAAGATATCTTAAAAAAAGATAATTCAGAAGACAATAGGCATTTCCAGAAGAAAACCTTTCAGTCCTATGTGAGTCCATGCTCTTAATACAGTTCATAGTTACTGGGCAAATTAAAATGGTGGCTATAAGAAAATTCCTGTACATTTGGAATATACCTAATACCAAGGTACTCCTAACTGTAATATTCTCAGTTTCTCTTCATCTCCTTTTTCTTTTTTTTTTAAGACTTCACCCCTGTCATTTTTTCTGCCTTTTCACTTAAATGAGATATAAACACAAACTTGAGACACAGGAACCTAACTGATGTGGCAAAGCTATGTATGTTTGCTGACCCACAGCAGCCTAATCACTTCAGGGAATGTGGACTGAGATTTTCTTTAACACAAGGTATTCATCACACTTAAAATTAGTTCATATTTTTTCCTTCTCTTCAAGATGCTGAAAGGGCTGGGGCCACCAAAGAAGATTTCCTTGAGTATAGAACTGAGGAAGGCAACTCCAGCCTCAGGAGAAAGCCCTGGGGAGTGCTTTTGGAAGGGCTGAGAGACAGGTGACAGTAGCTCTGTTGTATCTTACCTGATCTTCCCACACTGGAAGCACAAAAAAAGGCGTCAAAAATGTGCATGTGAGACGTGCACTGCAGACTCCCACCCTAAATTGTCGCAAAGATGCCTAAATAAAGCAGGGACTCCCCATCTTCCAGCATCTCTTCCCTCAGTCAGGGAAAAAGACAAGCAAAATTAAATTCATCAAAGTTGGTTTTGCTCGAGTAGTTGCAGCGCCATTTGAAAATTGTTTGGTTTCAAAGATATACCAAAAATGCCTTCAGGCACTACAATAATGAGCCTAGGTTAATTCCAACCAACTAAGCAGTTAAATGTCAATGGTAGAATAATCTGGTGGCTGGGTGATAGCTGTATATTGAGCTTCATAGCCAAGGGAGAGTGGGATATTTCTAAAGTTCTAGTCAGGCATTAAGTGGGTGACAGGCCTTGTAGAAATGATCATACAAGTAAGGAATGGTCATTACTTCTATTAAATAAGCAGTTTTTGGGAAATAACTTTATCACCCCAGGTTCTTCAAATATTTTCTTGATTTCCCAGGCTTGGCTTTCAATGATATAAAACTCATACACTGTATGACTGAATGCAAAAGATTAGTTAAAAAAAGTATTTATTTTCTATTTTTCTGCTATGTTTCATTACAAAAAGAAGCATAACAAAAACAAAACAGAAGATAGCATTTTATTAGTGGTACATTAATGAGCTTAAACAGCTAGGTGACTTATGCTTGTCACAAATACATATTACAAACAATCACAAAACCTTAACTAAAATGAAATAAATAATTTGAATAGCTTTTCTTAATTTTTTTAATATTTATAAAATATATAGGACTTTCTATTACATTTTTCAGTCATTTTAATCCATAACAAATTAAAATTTATGACATATATTGCAAATGTGCTAAAGGGATAAGAATAATTTAAAAAATCTTTAAGTTCCTGGAGGTATGAAATAATAAATCTGTTAATGTTTATCAATTTATTATCATATATCCAGATTGTGCATACCCTGCAAAAATAGCCATTTCTTCAACTAATATACACATGTTTCTTTATAGTATTGTAAGTTTTTAAATATAAAGCTTCATGGATGTATGCTTCTGTTTTACAATTATGCCTAATATGTAACTTTCATTAATATATACTGAATATATTCCATTAGTATATACTAATATATAGACACATGCATACACACACACACCCCCCACATACATACACACAGCATTATATATTAGTATATACTCAATAGCAAAAGAATTTCTGTGACAGCTGGAATTCCTGTGGAGAAAATTGTTGAAAGTGGAAGGCATGTATACCACAGCGAAAACTGACTAGGAAATGTAAATGAAAGCATTTGTTTTTACATGGTTCAATATATAATATACAGAATTTCAACAGAATTTTTTTTTTTATTCCAGCATTCCAATGTTTTTTAATTTGATTCCAGGAGGATATGAACCACTGTCTCTGCTTGACTTCCTGAAAATTGAGCCAAGCAAGTAGAAATGTGTTGGCATTATAGAACTTATTCCAGGAAAATTAAATTCAACTTAACAACCCTCCAAGTCAGGAAAGCACTTAAGCACAGTTATGAATTTATTTGCTACAACCTGAAGGTTAATAACGCACTCAAGCACTCTTAAGCTCTTGCTATAAACCTCAACACTGTCCCCTGTCCTGTACAAGGTTTAGAGGTTCCATTATGTAGTTAAGTACAGTTTTGCATCTGTCTGAGCAACAGGAGTGGGGGAACATGGAAATATGCTTGGGGACCCCAGAGCCAATATTCAGGTGTGTGTTTGTGGCAGATGGAGAGAAAGATGCAGCAGGGAGAGGGTTGACCAGCATGGGGTAGCCTGCTTGCAGCTAATAGTGTCCTGGTGTGGTGAGAAAAAAAGTGATGCAAAATAACCTACCCAGGCACCATGAGCCTTTTTCAGCTTCATTCTGCCCCTTGCTGCAGCACAGCATCCCCCTCCAGGAACAGAGCTCCAGGGGGCTACACTGTGAAGCTCAGCTTTTTTAGCTTTTTAGCTTTTTCTCCATGGTGCATGAGCAGCAGCTGCCACAGCCAGAGAGATGGTTGGCACCAGGACCTGGCAGCCTTGCTGGTAGCGTCTCAGAGGGTTTTTCCCTCTGGACTCATTTCAGCTGGGCTGCATGGTCTGAAAGCCCACCAGGACCTGGAACTGGGATGCTTGCTTAGTGTCATCCTGAAAGAAACAGCTCATGTGCTTGATGACGTCTCAGTGATAAAATTGTAGGAGTGGTTGTAGGCAGGAGCCTGGCTTAAAAATCACATTCCTGATAAAATGAAAACACTAAAGTAGAAGCATTTCTAGTTCTTTAGAGAAACAGAGAGAAAGGGAGACACATACACGTGCACCTTGAGAGATCTTAAGCTATATTCCCACCCTGTGTTTCCTTTTGAAGTGCCTGAAGTGCAGCCTCAGGCATCTAAGACAGGTACTTACATTTTGGGAACTTAGAGTCTTCCATTTTTCCCATCATACTGAACTAATCAGAGATGTGAGCTTTAAGCTCCAACTCATAACTGCCTGAGACAGAACTTTTTAAAATCAGCTTTAACTTTGTTTCAGACTTTTTCAGAGACCAAACCACCACATAAAGAAATATAAAGTATAATGCAGGGCTTAGTGTTTTCAGTGTTAATAAAATTTCCAAAAGCTTTATTGGAATAGCTAAGAAAGAATGAAAACTGATCTGAATTTCTAAGGGCAACAGTTTTACATTCTCTAGATCTCCAGTCTTTTCTAACATTTCCTTTGATACAAGAAACATCTTAAGGCATTGAATAAAGCAAATCACATTAAAAGTAACAAACTGAAATGTTGACAACTACACATGTTTAACCGTGCACTTTGAGGTCTTCTGATAAGTCTCTGCATTTACAATAAATAAATATAATTTTGTGGAATCAAGAACTAATTTAGAAAACACTTATCCTTTTCTCAAAGCATATTGATACCGTATACTATTGGCTTGTATTCTTAAGAATTCTAGTTTGAATAGACAAAAATTTAAATGATTGGTTTACAAAAATAGCCCTCTTAAAACTAGCTCTTGTCCGTTAAGTTCTTGATGTACTTAGTTAACATAATAAAATGGCCAACAGCTAAAAAAATATGCTAATCTTTATTTCAATGGTGCCTTTGTGCTACTGGAATGCAAAGCTCTTTTGAAAATCTGTAGCTCTTATTTTTAAAAATATGTAGAAAATGAAACATATTCACTTACTGATGAAATCATGAATAAATGTATTAAAATTTGTAACACTTCCATAATAAGCTTATGCTAACACTATAACCTAGCATATAATTAGTTCTGTGAGGACCAGATAATCTAAAATTCCCATCATAAAACAAACCAAATCAAGCCAAATACATTTAGTTATACTTAAGAGTACGTATTTTTGGCATACTACATAACATCAATAGGTGTGGTACTATAAAGAATTTTCTTCATTAAACGTACTTGAAAATATCATGACATAAAGAGAACAAATTATGTATTATGCTATGGATTGGTTTGTTTACTCTTTCTTGTTAAAATATTTACTTTTACTTGCATGCAGATTTTTAGCAAAAGCTGATGGCTCATAATAATTCTGTTTTTTCATAGTCAATGGGCTGTGTTGACTTATGAAACACTTGTATTCATCATATGTTATGTGTGAAATGACAGGCTGCAACACAAAGCCTGAATTTTGACATATGCACATGGAGTTCACTATGCTTTAAATGCAGGTATTTAAATGCAAAATGTAGCCATTTAATATGTTTGTAAATTTTATTTTGGTATTTCAGGATTAGATATAACATAGAATTTAAAATTTTGCCTCTTTGGTTCAAGATTGAATTTCTGACCAAGTTGCTCTACAAGGACAAGGCTGGATGCAGTCACCTCTGAATATTCTGTGAGGTCACTGCACAAATGTCTGCAGCATTTACAAATCAACACTGACCTGCATTCAAAGCTATGACATCTTATATTCTCTGAATAACACTTTTCTTCTTGAAAATAAAAGTACTGATGAAGCCCCACCAGTTTACCGCCTTAGAAAAACAACAACAATAAAAAAACAATTTCAAGGCTAATGTGTTTCTTAAATGTTCTGTATTTAATGCACAGTTGCAAAACTCTCAGTGATGAATGCAGATGTTCTACAAACAGAACACTTGACAGAGATCTTCAGGATACCCTGGTAGAGTCTCAAAAGTTCATATCATTAACTCCATTCTGCACAAAGTGTATTTTTGTCTAAATTCTTTGTGGGAGGCTTTAATATAATGGAATTCCTTCATCTACAGAAATTTGCAATGACATACTTTGTGCTGGTTTGGGTAAATGTTATGCTCATTTAAGCATGTCTCCTAAACACCCTTCAGACTCAGTGATGCAACTGCACATCACATGAACAGTTGAACAGAAAACATTCAACCAGTAGCTGACCAGTTTCAGATTCTGCTATTGCCAGCAGAGGTGGTAGCACATGGCCACACTTTTGTGACAGCTGAATGCTACAGAAATGCACTGAAGTGGAGGAGACTTTTTGGGAGGACTGAGAACTGCCATTAAAAGATATAAGGCTTCTCTTTTGAGCACTGTCAACGTGCTGCCAAAATTTGTGTTTCCAGTATATGCTTTCTAGACAAGGGCAGTGCCTGAGTTAAACAGTGCCATTGTTAAACCTCTTAAACTGTTATAGCTTTAGATTTAAAATATCTGGGGTTTGTGTCTCAAGCTTGAGATCCTATGGACAGCCGTGGTAGTTTTATCTGTCCTTCAGATGTGACCCACTTATTTAGGGACAATCCTTATTAAAAACTTCATTATGGTGCCTATGAAAACATTGGATTTTGATGCCACTTAAGAGTATTTAATAGCTGGATTGTTACATCATTCCAATGAATTTAGGATGGAAAAAAAATGTGTAGCCCTTGGAGGTGTACTAATAGGAAGTACGTGTGTACCAGAAGACCTTTGAAAATGATGAGTTCCCCTCCCCAAATATCTTCAGATTATTTGGAGCTAGTATCAAATTAGATCAGCTATAATACAAAACAATGTTACTCTCACACATGTAAATCCAAATATTTCTAATGCAAAGCAAAAAAACAGAGGCATGATTTGCTCCTACATTTCATTGCTCTTTAGTCCCTGCCCTGCACTTTGAATTGTTCCCATTTGGATAACCTCTCTTCTGGGTTCACTTTTGAAGTATTAATCATCTTAACACATAGAAAGGGAGGTGACAGAGTTAGCCTTTCTGCTAAATGAGGAAGATGGTGGCCCTGTCTCATAAGTGCTACTAACAAGTCTAAGTGGAGGGGGGAAAAAAAAGGTAATTTTGATTTCATAAATAGAAACCCCCAAAACTGCTACTGAAAATGTATACCTTTTTTCCATCGTCTTCACTTGTGTGTGACATAGTGCAAAATTAAATTATATTATAAAATCGCAACAAAACAAAGTTATTAATTTTAAACTTACAAGTCCTTTATATTTCATCATTAGATGATACTCTGAAACTAGTACTTGATCCAGAGTGATGCAAATGTCTTAAAAAACAAAGAAATTATGCATTCTGTAATGCATTCTTTATAGTTCATTCAATTTATTCCCATTGTACTATCAATATATATATAAATAACTCATTAAAAATTCAAATGGTAAAATAATTTTTCAAGCATAATGAAAAATATCTGTTTGTTTAGAGCTTAAATGAAACATAAATTCTACGTACGATGTGAAATCAAGGTTAACTATGGAAAAAATTAGATGGGTTGTCTGAAACAATTTCAAACTCTTGTTAACAAAGACAGTTAGATTTATGGTATTTAATTCTTAACAAAAAAAAAAACAGAGGAAATAAATAGATGACACATTATTTTTTGTACTTGCACTTAGTTTATAATTAAAATTAAATTCATATGCCATTATTTTTACTTGAAGAAGAGGGACTTACCTACAAAAAAGTGTTATTTCTTTTTGTGGCTTGTTTGTTTTGTTTTTAATGTATCAGACCAGCATGGCTATATGTTTGCAGTTGATACTTTTAGATGAAGAGAATAAAATGGAAAAAGTAGCATGATTCCATGTATGAACATGAGTATGGATTTACAACAGTGCTTAAAGTGCTTTCTTATTTGAGGAGGTACTTACACAAATGTCTTTTCATGCTTATCTCCTTTGTCACCGTGTTCTGTATGCTTGCTCTCATTTATAATATAATTATAGGGCATTATGCTCATACTCAGAGTTTAGTATATTGTCATTAAAAAACATCTGAAAAGAGGAAAATGACAATTCTATTTGTGTATTATTACAGCAATTTGAAAATTTTATTAAATACTCAAGTGCTTCATTTTGCCATTTATTCCTTTGCTTCCAATGCTGCTTAAAGCACTATGTAAGTACAAATAGATAATACTAAAAGCATATCCATCCTATTCTGGGGTTTTGACTAGGATTATTTACTGATGTCTTGCAGAACCGAGATGAAATTACGATCCCACGTGACCATTTATCTGCTGACGATGCAAGATGTCTTGCCTCCAGGATTGGTTTCCACATACATGGTTCACCAAAGGTCTAAATCTTATGAATATTTCTACATTTTTATGTCTCGTTGTTAAGTGGCAGTGCTGTCATGGGGGATGTCAAGTAGAATACTTTAATTTGCCAGTACCAGAAGTTGTGGGAGCAGCAGAAGCTGTGGCTTGGCTGCCTACATACAAAGGGTCCAAACAAGCCACTTTGGCTGCAAAGAATGAGTGGATACAGTGAAGGACTGCAAACAGGTTAGAAAACTCCAGCTCCTGGAATTTAAAAAAAAAAAAAAAAAAAAAAAAGATTAAACATGAAATGGAAAAACACCCCACAAGAATATAACCAGGAATGAACCACTTTTACAGTTGCAATAATTTTAATAGCTTGATGTAATTCTGCTAATGTACCTTGCAAATTTCCATTATAGGAACTTAGACATTGAAAATAGAACATTCTGTAAATAACTGCTTGGAGGCTAAAATGGACAAATACCTGGATTAAGTGCCTCATAGAAATATGAGATCCTAGTATCTAAAGGGAAAAGAAAGTGACACTGTATAATTTTTATTTTCCCTAAGGTTAATGCATATCTGGCACTTTGGTAGTTTAATTTAGAAAGAAACTTTATGGCTGTGCAGTAACAGTCTGCACACCTCTGGACTACTACTATTTAATTAATGTATCCACAAAAATTAATAATGTTGAGTTCCATATGTATTACATTTGTTCATCATGTCTTCTCACACTATTAATCAGCTATTAAATCATACTATTAAACAGCTATTTTCTCACCTGATTCTTTAATATATATATTAAGACAGAGAGGGCATTGTGGAGAGGACATAGTGAAAAAACTAGATAAGTTTTCTCAGAACTGGTTTGTGAGACTTTAGAGAGTTGAAGATAAAATATAATAATTTATTATTATAAAAAACTTGCAGGTGTTGTTTTCCTACACTCCGTTTTCTTGGTTTTTTCAAAGATTGTTTATAAGAAAGATTTTTTAAAATTAACAAATCAGGTGAAATGTATTAAGTAATTAACTAATCAGGTCTATCTATCAAAAACATGCATAAAAAGGAGAATCTGAATTAAAACTATACTATGCTATACAAACCAGCCTTCTGTGTCGTTTCTTTTTCAAAAACAACAGGACATATTTTCAAAATATGCTACTATCACACAGTGATAATTTGGATTTGTTATTGGGCCAAAAAAAGAACATACTCCATGTTTTAATTTTTTTTAGGAATATTATACAAATTCCTTATTTTTCTGCTTTAATTTAAATTTCTTTATAGCCCACTCAGCTTGTGATTACACTAGCTGGGAGTCTATTTTTTAGACTCTACTAGAGAGGAAATAAATAAAAACTACATTTTTAACATATATAAATTTGCTCCTTTATGTCGAATGACTTTATCTGATCAATTTTTAGTTATTTTTAGTATGTGTTTTTGAAGCCGGTATTAAATCAATAAATATATGTTGTATTGGAAAGCAATTACTGAGGTACTTCAAGGCATACAAGTCTAGGGAAAGAACTACAGATTTTACATCTTTCTGCTTTGATTCACTGCCCATATGGATTTTTTCATTGAAACGTGAAGCCAGTAATTGCTATCTGTGGTTTATTCTACTTTTCTTTCCAACTAGCATTGGTATTTCCAGGCTACACAGTGACAGGGTTTTGCTCTTTTGTTTAGAAGAACGTTGAAAATGTTGACATTTCAACACAAATTGCTAAATCTCTCAAATGACATCAACCTGCAATTTTCTGCTTCTTGAGACTTCCTGGAAGACATTACTTCATGGAATACATGGAGATATGCACAAAGCCCTCATGGGTAAGGAACAACAGCATGAAAGCAGACAGGTGCATGTGCAGTGTCCAGTGAGGTACTGAATGGGTGAAGCTTTGTTCAGGTCTCCTACAGCCTCAGCAGATGTCCTTCAGACATGCTCAGAAATTAACTGATAACATCCCATGAGATTCTTTAAACTCCCCTTTAATGTCAAAATAAAAGATAAAAATTATGCCAAGTTTCACAAACCTGCCAGCTGTGTCTATATAAAAAAGAATCAATTTAGAGATATTCTCAGTTTTAAACCCAGAGAGAAAAGCAATTTTATCACTGTGTCAAAATGGATTTTTTTCCTGTCTCAAATTTTAAAATCAGAAAATATCAGAAATAAAAAAAACCAGTGGTCATTCAAAGATCAGTTAACAAGGAATTATGGAAGCTATTTCAGAATAACAACCGTGGGCCATTGGAATTAAATTACTTTTCAGTTAACTTCATATTATTAATTAATTTATTTATTTACCTTTTTAGTACTATGAAAACACAACTGAAGCTTAAGATAAGGGAATAAATATTTAGTTGAACTGTGAAATATTTTTTAATGTTTTTAATTTCAATTGCATGTATTCTCTGTGGAAAGACTACAGTTCCCCCTATGTCTCAACAAGGTAACCATATTAAAACAAATGCTACAGTTTGAGAATTGTTCAAGTCAATTAGGCAACACTGCAAGTTAAACATTGCTACTATCATAATTACAGCTACTGCACACTGAATTTTTACAGTGCATGAGTACAATTATTTCCAAGAGTTATCACAGCTTTCTGCAACAGTAACACATTAGGAGTATCCACTGCTCAGTTGACCATCAAGGGAAATGGTGAGGCAACAGAACAGTCTCTGAAAGTCCCACTTGATAATTGTTATCAATACTAGTGACACAAGATGGAAATTACCTTGACTGCAGAGAAGAGCACTGAGAAGTCAGCAAATGTTCGATTATTATTTGCAATGAAACACTATTCCTATTTCAATGAAGAAATGCTTTTTTAACTGAAAGTTGAAGCAATATGAAGCACAGTAGGCTGACTGGTATGTGGCAAGCACATGTAGGTCTGATTAATGGCTGCAACTCAGTTCTCAGAAGCCTGATTGATGGGAACAGGACCTATCAGGGACAACACTTCTCAGGCAGATTAGCCTAGTCACAAGAAACCTTAACAAACAGATACACTCCATGTAGAGCTGCTGACAGACAAAACATGCCCTCACTTCTGCTGGGAACTTGCCCCCTTAGGTGTCTCCAGGTCAGCACTACTGCCAGCAGACACAGGAGAACTCACAGGCTTTTGTGCATCCCCAGCCACCCTGGCTGTTTTTGTACATGCTTTGTCCTCAGCCATACTTTTGTCTGAGTACACTTTCCTCTAGGCAGGGTAGTGTGTACTGCACACATAGTCCAGATGAAGTTTCAAGTGAACAAACAGACAAACCCTAAGAAACCTGAAAAAATGTGCAGTTAAGCCGTTGAAGTTGGTACCAGTAGGGAAAGTCACATGTTCTGAATCTTCCAAAAAGCAAAGAAATCCTAATTTAAGACACGCCTACTTGTCCATGCACAAGTACACAATTTACTATTATTGTAATTTCCAGAATGTTGCCTGTACACCTCACCTAAGACCCTACTCTCCCAGGAATATCACTGTACCCTCTGGACTTTAAAATGTCTTTCTAAGCTATTTCTTGATAAAACTGCTCCCACCCTATGTTGCGGGCATTATAGCAGCCACCTCCAGATTATTAATCTGAACATCTGCAGTTCCTGCTGAGGATAACGCAAATGGGCAAAAAGGCATGTGAGAAAGATGCAGTCATTGAAAATGTCAGAAGTATATTGGAATTCTAGTAGCTTTTCACAAAGGAAGTCTGGATTGAAAAGACAAAGAAAGAAAAAAGAGAGTTTTCCTAAAAGAAAACAAACTCCAGAAATCTCTTATTGCATTGTATTATACATATATTACGTAATATGATACAACTACATAAATGACACATTTACAAAATCCAGCAATTTTATGTTTTGAAGTACCCATTACTATGGGTACTTCAAAACATATTTTAAAAAAATTAAAAAATGTGTTCTCTTTCATCCATATATAAACAGATTATATGAGAAGGTATTTGTTAATCAGAAGTGGAGTTACGTGGTATCTCTGTATTTGCATAGAATCTGATCTAAAATAGATATTAGACAAATAATCCATGTGTAAGACATGGGGAAACTAAAAACTGAACCACAGAAACCAACATAAGTCAGAAATCTGAACTCTAAAATTCAGTAACTGCAACTGAGCAATCACTCTATAAAAATCTTAGGGCTGTAAACTTATAACCCATTTAAAGATGACACTCTAAATGTGAAGAGCACTGTGATGCTCACTGAAAAACCCTTAAGGCTAAGAACAAGGATTAATTTAAATTTGCATGGAGAACAGACTTGAAATGAGCAGAAATGTCAGTTTGGAAAATGATGCAAGCACCCATCAAGTCACCTTGCAACAGTAGAAAGTGGGTATTTTGTTCACAGTAATGTGATCAGTAGTCATTAAGGGTATTTAGATTAGATTTCTTTACAAGATAATTTCAGGTACAAATGAATTGGCATTAATTAATACTAAGGTAGTATTAATTAATAATGAGATTAATTTGAAATCCTTGAAGTTAAATTTCTCCCTTTGCTGATACCATGTTTGTGCCTTCTTTGGTTTTCTGTATTCAAATAGATGAAGACAATGGACTGGACCTTCATCTTGATAAACTTGTTTTTGTACCCACTTCAGTTTTGTACTGCTTAGTTTAGAAGTTTAACCCATCTGTGAACAAAAGCTCACCTGATGTAGCACAGCAATGTGACTTTGCCAGAGTTTTTCTGAGAGAATTGTTGTGCTGCAAGTTGCAGGAGGTGAAAGCACAGATTGAGGTGTAGCATTTGAGTCATACATGTTTTACCAAGCATACAGAGACCCTCAGTTCCCAATTTGGTAAAAATTCAATAATGTAATTTGATGATTTTTATACACATCACTTACTCCAGTGTTTGGAGGCATATGGTTATGTCTTGGAACAGGAACTCTCCAAGATTTAAGGTACCCTTCTGTTTTGTCAGAAAAGTATAACACTTAGGTTAAATTGGAGATCACACCACTGAGTTTATTACAGTTCTTAGATTGTGTATCACCTCCAGAAGCTGCTGTGATACTACTGGGACACTAATGGATCATTAAACTATAGCTAAACAAACAGGTAAATTGATAAGTAACTAGATGGGAAGGTCTAAGAGAATCCCTTTGAGACCTTACAGATGCAGAGAAAGCTTTGCCCTCCTGTGCTTATTTTTTTTAACACAAGCCAAACAGCTCAGTAAGAACAAATACAGGGACATATTGGCTCCACATTCTGTCAAGGTGACAGCTCTATTTTGTGGCTCTCACTCATAAAAATTTTATCTCACTGAGCAAAATTGTGCAATATCTCCTGGTGAGTGACAGCTGGGAAATAACCTACCAATTGGAATGTCTAGGGGGTATCAGTGATTAATACTGCCCTTAAGTGGTTTTCTTGTCAGAAACTACTTAGACCTTGCCTTAGATACCTTTTTAGTAAGGTGTTGGCTTTCAGGCACCCTGCTGAAAGCAAACAGACCCACTGGTGTGACCTATGGTAATTATTGTTCAGATTTTTAGACTGGAACTGCTTAAATCCATGAGTATCTCTTTTATTCTAGATTATATATCTTTAGTTTTATCTATTATTATATATCTTTAAAATAACATTATTTCACTTAGAGAGAAGCCAAACAAATGCATGAGTACAATGTCTCTACGGGAAAAAAAAGGCAGTATTTGAAATATTTGAATACATAAAATTATTTTAAAGCTGAAAAGAACAATACTGGGAAATAAGTTAAACTGTAACTAAATCCAGAGCACATGCTGTATTTCTCAAGGCATGCCATTTTGAATTTTTTAAGTCAGGCATGAAACACGCTATAAAAAATGTTGACAGTGTCATAAAAATCTTAGCCATTCAGTGTCAGTGAAGGACTTTCACTTAGGAATATAAACTCTGGTGGCAATTGTTTTTCCCAAAAACAAAAACAAACAAACAAACAAACTCCAAACAAACAAAAAAACAAAAAAACAAAAAACCAAACAATCAAACAAACGGAAAAAAAAAAGGCAGAACAAAAAAAAAGCTAACTGATGAATGTATGTGGTGATGGACTTTACTCCAAAATGCATTTTTCCTGGATTTTTCTAACATTAACATTGGTATCTCAGTATGTTCCACAGGAATACAGAGAAGGCGGTAGACAATTATGAAGACAGTATGATAAAATTTAAAATGCTGCTGCATACTTATTTTTTTCCCAAGAAATGTATATCTATAAGTTGGAACACAGTTATAAAATAATAACAAATTTATCTAAGTTTGGATCAAAATTCAATAGATAAGCATTTTGACACTCTTGATTCTGCAGATCATGAATAAGTGTTCTAAAGCTAAAGGGTATTATCCCACAGGTTCAACTTGCCATAATCACACACATCTGGGAAAGCATGAGATACACAAAATGTTCTGCATTATAAATGAATGATGACAGGAAGAATTTGGATTTTGATAGCACATGTTTTTTGTAAGATGTTATATAGAATCAAATAATTTACGTTGAATAGGACATTTACGGAGTCCAATGGTTAATCCAGCACCACCAAGTCCACTACTAAACTATGTCCCCAACTGACACGTCTACATATCTACACCATCCCTTTGGGGGTGGTGATTCCTCCACTTCTCTGAGCAGCCTCTTCCAATGATTGACAACCCTCCTGGTGAATACATTTTTCCTAGTATACAACCTATACCTCCCCTAGTGCAACTTGAGGCCATTTCATCTTGTCCATTCACTTTTTAATTATGAGAACAGGCATACCCTACCTGGCTACAATCTCCTTTTAAGCAGCTGTAGAGAGCAATGAGATTCCTCCCTGAGCTTCCTTTTCTCCAGGCTAGACAACCCCAGCTGCATCAGTTGCTCCTCATCAAGCTTGTGTTCCAGACCCTTCCCCTGCTCTGTTCCCCTTTTCTGGACTCACTTCACCATCTTAATGTCTTTAGTGAATGGCCCAAAACTGAACACAGAATTTGCAGTGTCTGGAATGTTCCCTGCTATGCCCTGCTTCCAGATTGTTATTTGGGAATAAGTAAGCAAAGAGCCCTAATACATTGGTGCAATGGTTCCCCAATTTTTTTTTTTTATTATTCTCTGCTGTGTTCTCCTTTCACTACATTCTGATTATTCTTAATTTATTACAACATTGGGGAAAAAAAGGAATAGAACCATAAGGAAAGTGTTACAGCAGTGGGTCTCTAGGCCAGCTGCCAAACAGGGCTGCATTTAACAGGTGATAATAACTGTGGCATGAATATTCATCAGAACCTTTAACAGATGTTTTACAAAATTTCCATCCTCTGATTTCAAATGAAGTCGCATACAGTATTCATGAAATCTGGCATTACAAATATTTCTAAAAATCTGATTAACATTTCTTAATGACTCAACAGTTCCACAAACAGCTCTACTTCTGACTAAGGAATGTAAAGCAAGAAAATAGAGGCTAGACTGTTCCACCTCTCCTTATGATGAATAGTGCTTTGAATCTATGAAAGGTTTAAAGGATACAAAAGGGGGTTATCCACTAAATTGTAAGCTAGCAACTTGAAAATATATGACCCAAGAACCTTCATATTCATTTTACAGACACATTTATCTACATTTCTTAGACTAAGCAACATACTTAATATGTAAACAAATTGGAATGGATAGAAGTTCTCATTATAAATGCCACAGCACATTCCAAAGAAAATATAACCTGACATCTTTGCATAGAGTTGGTATGCTTTGCTCACCAAAAAAATTAATTAAAATTAAGAAATTTTTATTGCAAAATTGAGTGATGTGAAAGATTAAATTTATAGTAAAGAGCAGCAACCCGGGAACAAGACAGCATACTAATCAGCATGCTAGCAGGTTTGTGTAATACTCTGGCTTCATAAGGTGGAACGTGCTATTTCTACCTCAAAAAAAGTTTGGCAGAATTTCCTAGAACTCAATTTGAGTGGAAATAACAATGTGTACAACAAAGACACCAGGATACCTCTAAGGCTTGTCTATGTCCAGTTTACTTATGTATCTCTAGGTGATTTATATGACAGATATAATTTAAAACATGAAAAAACCCTGTTGGATTTTTTTTTTTTCAAAACCTGTATTTTATTCTTTGGTTTTAGTTTTTAATGTAATTCAATATTAAAAATACAGTCTAGTTTTACCATTAAAAAAAAAAAAAACAAAACAAAGCAAAACCAAAACCCCCAAAATCCCCAAACACCCCAACAGTGTGCCATTCTTGGACTCCTATAAATTTTTGTTAGTGCTAAAATAATGTGTTAATATTACAACAATAGCAGGCAGATATTAGAAAAATATCCTTCAGATGTACATACGAGTAGAATAAAAGTTTACAATTACTTTCTTAAGAGAAAATCATCCTCATGTCATTAGGTTAAACTGTAATGTCTTATTACAGCTGAAAAAATATTCTGTACTACTAAAAATATCCCTGAAGAAAATCAGAAATAAGAAAGTATTTATATTTGAGATGTAGCAGAACATGAAGGTATCAAAACCATGGTCCCCATATTTTATTGCTATTGATTTAATGGGAACTCTTACATACCTTTATTTTACTGAGTAAACCACTCAAAATCAAGTAAATAGCTGCTGGGTAGAAAATAAATAGCACAAAGCATAAAGAGACATGGAGGAAAATGCTTAATGTAGCTATTGGCATTTAAGCACATAACTATCCCAAAAATAATGCATTTTTTCCCTTTACATATTTTAGAATACTCTACATATAGACAATTTATAGACAATTTATTTAACCATATATGTCCCTTATAGACAATTTATTTAACCATTTCCTTTTTGCTCATGGAATTGTTTTGTTATCACGTTCATTCAGCAATTTTGTCTCCAATACGGTCAGGAAAAACAATATAGTAAATCCTTTAAAAGCAAAGCTTAGACATTGACAAGAAAATAGTCTTTAGGTTTGCACTAAAATTTGGATTCTACTCAAAAAAGAACTTTGACCCAGACTTCAAAGCAGTTACAGCCATCACAGACCTTGGGAAGATCACTTCTCACAAACATTGGGACAGCAAATGCCCTCATTCTCAAAAAACATAAATCGAAGTAAACTTAAAGCCCTAACAGCTACTGTTTTAGTGAATTAACTCTTGAATCAAAAGCACAACTGGAAAAACAACTCTTCTGATTTTGCACTAGACACAGACACTTCAGTCTTGTTTGGAAACATGTATTGAATCCACACTTTTTTTTTCTCTGAGAAATAAAACCAGATTTTCAACCTTTACTGAGTTTTGTTCTCAGGTTGACTTGAGGATATATTTTTTACCATTTCTGCATGATACAGTTATAGGGGCAAAAACAGGGTACTGATGCTCTGAGACAGCTTTGTCACAATAACAAAGAGGAGAGTTGGAAAAAAAGTCTAAACCTATATATACCATACAGCCTGTATTTTATTATTTTTAAATCTAATTACATCTTTCAAAAAAATTTTAACTAGATAAAAAAACTAGATAAAGTTTAAATTTAATTGGTTTTCTTTGCATTTTTTGTCCATTAACCTAATATTTCCTGGTTACCACACTTTCCAATTCCCCTAGCGGCTTTGGAAATTGTATATTGCCTTTATACAAACAATGTATTGTTTTTACCTTTGCTTCGATTTGTTTAGTATCTTGGTTTTGGAACAAAAATTTGATTTTGCTCTTCCCATCATCTGAAGAACCTTTGAGCTGGGAAAACTTGTACCTCCAAAGCACAGCCTAAAGGGAAAAGAAAAACAAACAAAATATAAAATATCATACACAAATCAACGCAGTTATCATGAAAATTGTATTAGAAATGGCTGATCTCCTTCCAAGGAATGTTTAACACTTCTATGGTACATAATTAAATAAAGCAAGTGTTCTGTGGTCAGACGTTCCTTTAGTCATATAGATATGTTATACTTTGGTAGTGCTTGAATAACACCTGTCAGACTACATTTGTGAAATTTACCCTAAAATTCCTTTATCTATATTTAATATTTAAACAAAAAAGAGAAGGATTTTTTCCACTGATGATCAGTGGATTCCCTGCACTATCTGACATATTGATCTGACATACGAGCCCTCTCTTTCCATACTAAAAAAATCTAGTATTAACATAAAGGGTATATCATAGTAAAAACAAATGTATATTTTTAAAGGATAAAATAATAAAAAAAATTCTTAAGGAGAATATATTTTGAGTTTATTTATGAGACTTCTAGTAAGGAATTTGAGTAACTCATTAATTCTAACCGTATCTGTGGCCTTTCAAGTAATTATATTATGAGTTGCATTGTGTCTTGTTGAAAAAGACATAATGCTTTCTAAAATAAATATACAATTAATAAAATTTACAGATGTCTACGAAAACATCTTTTAAAAATTATATCTAGTGCGGATTTATGAAAAAAAATTAATTTTAAACTACTTTGCTTAAAAATGGAAAAGGGCTATTTTTTGTTATCTTTTCAAACTCATTTAAAGATATCCCCCACCATCCAGATATTTCATATTGTTAAAGTATTTCATTGTGATTCCTATAGTATTTCACATAATTAGGAGGTCAACATCACTTATATTGTGCTACTACTTTGATGAACATTGATTTCACAGGCATAAACTCTTTTGTCTTAGGGTTTATAAATTTCTCCCTCTCAGTGGTGTAGGAGGGCCCTTAGTCTTTATCTATGAATGATTTACTATCTACTGGGAATTAAACAGATTATGGTGGAGGTCAAATTTTTAACTGTCCTAAATCTATGCCCTTCTGCTTTGGGATGTGTTGGTCTCTTTATGACTAGCAAAAAAATCTGTACCCTGCACCAAGCTGAATAAACTTTGTTGTGTTTGTCTTAGCAACCTGATGAGAAAGGAAACCACAAGGAGAGCATCTTAACTGTGCACTATACACAAAGCAAGTGCTAGAATTTTTCTCCAAAATTGTCTCTATGCAGTTGCCCCTTCAAAATAAAAAAAAAAAAGAACCCTTGTCTCAGCACAACTTTTATTCTCTGCTTGTATGTGACAGGTGAGCTCCCATCTGCCATAAACACTGTTACGGACATTGTGTTTCACATAAACTACAGGAATTCGGCAGTTTATGTGAAAATATATCCTATTTGTTTCAAATGTTGTCCTCCTGAGCCCACCTATCTGTGCTACAGAAAATAGAATAGCTTCCCTCATTTCTATGTGTTTGAAATTCCTTTGACGTTGTTTGATCAAAGATGTTTATTTATATTGTACAAATAGTGAGGTAAAAACAAAACTAAGCAAAACAATCCAGTGTATAACATCATTCATACAGGTGGCTATATTCCTACCCACTTTGTAAACTCTTTTTTTTTTTACAGATCTATGAAATCTTGCCAGAAGATCAAGACCATTGCCTTTCTGCAGGGACAGCAAATCTACTTAAGTATGTCATTTCCTGGATGAGAAATGCAAAGGGCACTGATTGTCTCTTTATCTCAGGAGAAAACAATCAAAGCAATGAGCTATCATCTTTCTCTTCTCTGATGATATATGGAGAGGCCAGGAGAGAGATGCAGCATTAAAAAGGACCCTTAGATGTTCAGGAAAAATCCCAGGCTACCTGGCCTTATTCCCAGTCAGACTAAGTCTAAATGAAGATGAAGGATGCATAGAACTGAGGTACTTTGACATTTCCATGCTTTGGCATGCACTTCATTCCCATTCAGAGGAAAGAGAATGACAGTCACACCAAAGCACAGGCACGACTCAGGAACACACTTCAATTTATGCGTAACATTGGTTTTGGAGACTCCTACTTAGCAGGGGCTCTTACTGCAAACACTGCAAAATCAGGTCTATAGTATAGAGAGAACTAATCCCAACAAAACTGCACTTCAACATCAAGATATTAAAACAAGCTCCTAGAACTGACAGTCTCTGCAGAGACAAATACTCTTCATCTGAAGTTTAAGGAGTAGAAATGCTATTGACAATGCATTAAATGATTCCCACATGAAAGAATTATCTGCTCCTTTTGAGTGATCTTCAACAAATTGCACACGCTTTCCCTCAAAGTTGTCCACATGAGGGATCGGTCATTTGCAAAAATAAGAATAGGGAAATGTTGTGAGCTTTAAGTCACTAAATTGTGAATACAAAGTATTTCAAGCTAGCCACTCTGACTACTTCTTTTTTTTCTACAGAATCTCTAAATAAAAAATCCTACATCCTGGTTAAAATGGCAAGAACTGGTTCATAATGGTAGAGTTTGGATGTGTGTTTGCTACAATATGCTATACTACATTGAAAGTATAACAGACAGCTTAAACCACTTAAAGTAGAAGTTCAAATTATAGATAGCAAAAGTTGAGAAAATTAGTTAATTAAATTCCAGTAAGACCCATTTAAATCCTTTCTCCTGACAAAGAGCCTGAAGTGCTGCCCTGTGTAGCCAGAACTGCACATTTTTTATGTGTAGAACATCTATAAGGGATACAGAATGCTGTGACTGCAGTCACATTGCTTAAAATAAAGTATCTTGGGGATCACTGGATTAATTTCTCTGGTTGCATATGTTCTGAGTGTGGTTCTTTCCTTTTTTTTCATTTTCAATGCTGCAAAATGCATAAGCAGTGAACAGGGACCAGACCTATCCTTTTTTCAATAACTACTTTATAGTGCCACAGTAAGAAAGGAGAGAGAGACCACACCCACCCACCTGCACACCAGTTTCACACAGATGTGTGAGAGAGAGTTTCATGTGTTATCTTTCATTATCCTATGGGCTGATTTCAGTGTTACAGGGTTCACTGTGATTACTTTTCCAAATTCTATTTTTAAAGGCTAATTCTCCTACTCAGGTATAGTTATCCTTGGGAATACTGTTCTACACCACTGTCCCAGTCATTATTTTTAAGTGTTTTTGAATATCAGAGTTCCTCAGAGCCATTTGTTGAATGTTTGCCTCAGAAAGTTAACATAGGCTGTAATAATTTAGTACAAATATATTTATGTACACATATTGACTTTTAACCAATAAGTACATTTGTAAAATATGCTGACTTTTTTGAAAATTTGAAAAAACACTTAAATGTGTGTCACTTAAAATATTTCTATATCAGTTTTCAGGAATTATGCAAAACAAGCAGAAGTACTTACTTTTTTGAAGGTGTAGTGTTACTGAGCTCAACTCTCATAGGGCTACTTTTAGCTGACAAAACCAGCCTGCTCTCGTCAAGTACTTGCCTCAGTAACTGTGCATCACCTGCATCACTGAGAATATTTTACAGGTCTATATACAGCATTTATAGGAAACAATAAATAGATTTGACAGGTGGGTCAGGTGCTAATTCCTTTGAAAGCACAAATTGCAACTGAATTAAAAAAGATTCTCTTGTAGACAGTGGCATCAGCTACTCTTGAGGATCCTGACACACCTTTCAAGTCATGGCACACAACATTATGATGCCTTGATGGAAGATGAAGAGGAGAACTCAGGATGCACTATTTATTGCTTCTCAATGAATCAGAGAAAAGTGAACTCTCATTTAATGAGTAGAGGTAGAATTTAGGAAAAATAGCAAGCAGTCCAATTCAGCAAGTGGGGACCAAGGCACACACTGAAAATACCACCAGGGCCACAATTTGCACACTCCCAGTGTGGCCACAAAATATCTGACATAATTAATCCATGTCTTGAAAAATGCACTCTAAGAAGAAAATCTCGTTGAACAAATACAGTATATATCATGCATAAAATTGAACACAACCAATAAGATATAAATCCTTTTTCCAATTATTATTCATATATTGCTTAGGCTGCTTTCTGTATTTTACACCATTTAATAAAATTACCTTCAAAGAATACCAGAATGCAATGCAAACAAATAAACTGCAGACAAGCTGACAGATTAGATTTAAGACTCCTCTTGAGATGTTATTAAATTATTGTAATAACAAATTGTCAAAAAGCAAAATCCTGCATTCACTGAATTAGCAGGATTTCTTTTCCTGTGATGTATCTGGGACCAAGATTCTTCGCCAATACTTTTTAATTAGAAATATTTTATTTATAAGTAATCATCTAGGACTCATTTGTGCTAGTCTTTGCAAACAAATTACTGCCTATTATCTTTCACTAGTGTTATTCTGCTATAATTTAAAAGGATGCTCTCTGCCTGCATATTTTTATTTTATAGTTGGTACATAAATGCACTATATAAATGGCACATGAAATAAAAGCTATTGACTTCTATACCTGTAATACAGTCACAAAAATTAAGAAATTATAGTGTTTCTATTCTTAGCAATAATGCTAGATCTAGAACACATATTCTTAAAGGCACCTGAGAAAATATTTTCACATCCATATTATATATCAGTTTGCTACTTATTTCCGGAATCTTGGACTGATCCACATACAATTTGGGTGAGATGACATCAAACAAAATCACTTTCCATCTAGGTAATGACATCAGAAATATGGAAATGCATCATAACTGTAACTATCTTTGTTTGGGCTATGACTAGGAATATTCATTAGAGGTTTTGTTTGATTTTGGGTCAAGGAGATTGTTCTAATCCTAAACAAAGACCAGATTATCAAACAAATACAGAATGAATAGGTGACTGTGTTTTTAATTACCATGCTCTATGGAATATTCATAGAAATGTGAATGTCTGACTAGTCCATGGATCTGGGATAGATATATAATTTAGGATACAGAGGGCATTAAGCAGTGAAGCTAGGAAAGAAAATG